TTCATAGCTTACTGAGTTCTGTGTACGTGCTCCGCTTGCGCATTTTTGATTACGCCGGTATGAACAATTTTGTTCATACTGGCATATTAAGCGGAGCACGTTCACAGAACTCAAACCCGCACTTTGCCTTGCGATTTCTCTCATACCTTGGTGGTACAAATCGAGCCGTTCGGATCCAAGGTACCCGGCGGGTAGTAGAACAGCCCCCTGGAAGCCCAGGATTTGTACCACTAGTGTTTAGATTGTACGGCTGTTTGAAATTCTGAAAAAAACTTCTAGATGGCGTTGCTGCACTTCTGCTCGGTTTTCCGCTTTTTTGGTTTATCCAACGAAGTCTTTATTCTAGTTGTGTGGTAGCATGTTCTTTTATGACTTTTTTTTGTAAAAAAAAAAGTCGAAAAAAAAATCGAATTTCTTCGAAAATTTTCCTGGCCAGGATTTTTCCTGGCCAACTTTATCCCGGTCCGATATTGTTCAAAATCGGCACAGACCTAGGTCTATACTAGTCTAATAACGTCCCAAAAGGAAAAAAATTCTATCTTAAACCGTTTGGCTGCCACCGCGCCCCGAACATCGACATTTTTCGGCTACTTTTGTGCACCGCAATTTTCAACTCGCTCTAGTTTTGCTCCCCGTGCACGCAGACAAAAAATTTTTTAACCACGGGTAGATTCGCTGTTGGGCGTCAAGCAGCCGTACGCCAAAACGATGCGCGGGCGTGGGCGCGGCGTTACGGACCCGCCGTAGGGGCCTAACACAAAATCGGCAAAATCTCGAAAAACGCATTTTTTTTATTGATTTTGTTTCATGAGATCCTGCGCTTATATTCTAGCAACATCTCCACAAAAATTCAGAGTGGGCGCTCAATGGGATCACGTTAATCCCAGCGATGGAGTGGTTTCGCCACGTCAGAAGCTGTTTGCGCGCGCCGCCCGCCCGGCAGGGCGGGGCGCCAATCGAACTCAGCCGGCCGGCAGCGCGCGCGCTTTCAAACAGAGATTTTGTCGATTTTGTGTTAGGCCCCTACGGCGGGTCCGTAACGCCGCGCCCACGCCCGCGCATCGTTTTGGCGTACGGCTACTTGACACCCAACAGCGCCTCTACCCGTGGTTAAAAATTTTTTTGTCTGCGTGCACGGGGAGCAAAACTAGAGCCAGTTGAAAATTGCGGTGCACAAAAGTAGCCGAAAAATGTCGATGTTCAGGGCGGGGTGGCGGCCAAACGGTTTAAGATAGAATTTTTTCCTTTTGGGACGTTATTAGACTAGTATAGACCTAGGTCTGTGCCGATTTTGAACAAAATCGGAGACCATCAAAAAAGCCCTCACCGCTTGGCGTGGACGGAGCCTCCGGGTAAACGTTGTCGCACAGGGCCCGGACTTTGCACACGGTCTTTTTTAGGTCAAAACTACCATTTAGGCTCCGTACCTTGAAAAAATTTTTGGGGTGGAATGGGCTACCATCTACTTGCGCGATTTTCTGTCTCATTTCAGTTCACGTAGAAAATAGCAAAATAAAATAGGAAGGTACCTTACTTTTAACAGATTTTTGAGCTTATGGTTTTTTGATGGGTGATTTTTAGTATACGGGCCGTTTAGATTCCGCGGCCCTTCACAACTATGTGATATGGTTGGAAAAGGTTTTTATACCATCTAAATACTCGAAAGCACTAATACTACCTGGTGCAACACTAACAAGCAGGCCCGCCCTTTCGCCAAACGGAGTTGCCAGCTCCACTTCGCTGCGCCGGCCACTCCGTTCGGCAGGGGCCGGGCCTGCTTGGCCTGCCGGCGGCGATGGTCGGGCCTTCGGGCCTTCGGCCTTCGGCCCGACCATTTCAGTCCCACGATTTACTGATATGCATAATCAAATAAATAATGTGACCGGTAAATCACTTATATATATTATATATTTGAGTAAACTAAAGCGTCC